ATGACATTACACATGTTACTTTTGATGAAATTGTAGACCTTGGGGGAAATCCTCTTGAGTCAAATAAAGAACTTGCAGGTGATGATGAGTACATAAGAGAGACTCTTGATGAATTGTATTTGGAAGAAAATGAACCTTCTCAACCAATTGAATTAGCAAAAGAATGGCAATCACCAAGAGAACTTTCAATGGACAATATTATTGGTGATATCTCAAAAGGGGTAAGAACTAGAAATATGAATAATTTATGCATGTCTGTAGCTTTTGTGTCACAGATAGAACCCAAAAATGTTGAGGAAGCGCTTAAAGATGACCAATGGTGCATAGCAATGTAAGAGGAACTTAATCAATTTGAAAGGAATCAAGTCTGGGAATTAATTCCAAGAGAAGAATCACATCAAGTAATTGGAACTAAATGGGTATTTAGAAACAAACTTGATGAAGATGGAAATATAACAAAGAATAAAGCCAGACTTGTTGCCAAAGGTTACTGTCAGGAGGAAGGTATTGATTATGATGAAACTTATGCTCCTGTTGCCAAGTTAGAGGCTATACGCCTACTTTTTGCTTATGCATCATTGATGAAATTTAAATTATATCAAATGGATGTTAAAAGTGCATTTTTGAATGGGTTTATTAAAGAAGAAGTATATGTGGAGCAACCCCCTGGATTTGAAGATTTTAGTTATCCTAATCATATTTTTAAATTGAAGAAAACGTTATATGGTTTGAAACAAGCTCCTAGGTCTTGGTATGAAAGATTAAGTAGTTTTCTAACTTCAAATGATTTTTCTAGAGGAAAAATTGATTCTACTTTGTTTATAAAGAAAGTAAAAGAACATATCTTATTGGTTCAAGTATATGTTGATGATATCATTTTTGGATAAACTGATAATTCTTTGTGTGTAGAATTTGCTAAGATAATGCAGGGAGAATTTGAAATGTCTATGATGGGAGAATTAACATTCTTCCTTGGACTTCAAATCAAACAACTTAAAGATGACATTTTTGTCTCTCAAACCAAATATTGCAAAGAGATTCTCAAGAAGTTTGGAATGGACACTTCAAAGGAAGCTAACACACCCATGGGAACTTCATGCTATTTAGACAAGGATGAATCAGGTTTGGAAATTAATCAATCTATGTATACAAGTATGATAGGTTCACTGTTATACTTAACTGCAAGTAGACCTGATATTATGCATTTTGTCTATGTGTGTGCTAGATTTCAAGCATGTCCAAAAGAATCTCACCTAATTGCAGTTAAACGTATTTTTAAATATTTAAAAGGAACTACTGGTTTTGGTTTATGGTATCCATCTGAAGCTTCTACTAGTTTAATAGGTTATTCTGATGCTGATTATGGTGGATGCAAAATAGATAGAAAAAGTACTAGTGGGACATGTCATTTGTTAGGATCATCATTAGTGTCTTGGCACTCTAAGAAACAAGCATGTGTTGCTTTATCCACTACTGAAGCTGAATATATTGCAGCTGGTAATTGCTGTGCTCAAATTTTATGGATGAAACAACAATTAGAAGACTATAGTATCTTTCTAAGTAATATTCCTTTGATGTGTGATAATACTAGTGTAATAAATCTTACTAAGAATCCAGTAATGCACTCTAGAACTAAGCATATAGAGATTAGACATCACTTCTTAAGAGATCATATTAGCAAAGGAAACTGTAAAATTGAATATGTCGATACAAAGCATCAATTAGCAGATATTTTTACTAAGCCTCTTCCCAAAGATAGATTCTATGATCTTAGAAGAGACTTAGGAATATTAGAAATTGCTTAAATTTTGGCATGATTAAATAGTTTTTGTATAAATGTAATGTTATAATCAATTATGTAAGGTATTAATAGATTATCATGTGTCTAAACCTCAAAAATTTGATGAACTCTTTGGAATAATCGATTATTTGCACCTAAGATGTCCAAATTCTAAAATTACTCACTGGATTAATCGATTATTTCATCAAATAATCGATTAACTACAACTTTAATTGATTAACAACTTGATTTAATCGATTAAATGGGTCTATTACTGGTTTAATCGATTATTTCAAGATTTAATCGATTAAACCTGATAGTTTTTGTTTACTAGCCGTTTCCAACGGCTCTTTTGGCCCCTATGCACTCCCAAATGACCGTTGAAGATGTTATTTATAAATAGGAAGCCTTCATTTGACTTCTCCACACCTCAAACTCTTGAATCCAAGCATTCTAGCATCATTCAAGCATTCTTGCTTTCTCCTAACATCACTTGTTTTCCTAAACTCTCTTGTTATTCTTCTAATCCTAAAATGGTCTCATCTTCTCGTGCTAAAATTCCCACAAGAAGAAGATCTGCTTCTGCCTCTCATCCCCGTCCGAATTCTATCGAAGGATGGATCTCAGATGATGAGGGCCGACAGGAATTTCTCACTTTTTGGAAGGAACGAGGTATCATTACTCCAAAATTCCTTATTGGTGATCAATTCATCAATAGGGGATTTAATTTTCCTAATCTTCTTGAAATTCAAGGTGTTCTCCCTTTTATCCAAATGCAAGGTACATACTATCCTGACTTAGTTAGGGTATTTTACTCTCGCTTTAAATTTAGAGATCAAGTAGCTACCTCTCATGTAAAGGGGGTAACCATTATTCTTGATGACGATATATTGGAAAACGTTGCACATTTTCCTATAAGAGATGATGCTATTAACATTTTTGCGGAGTTAGATGACTTTGACATGATCATGGCTTACCGTTCTTTTCTACGCAACCCTTCCATGGAGATTGGACATCTTCTTCTAGCCGAGCCATTAAAGAAGGAGGAACGCCTGCTCCTGCATCTACTCGTCTGGATCTTATGTCCCCGGGCAACCAACCATGCCCAATGCTCTTCAATAGATCTTCGCATTATTCATGCAATAATGAATAATGAGCCAATAGATTGGGGAAGCCTTGTCAAAATGACTATGCTGAAGGCCAAACGTCATCCTACTTTCAAAATTCCCTATGCTCTCCTTATCTCTCGCATTCTAGAGTACAAAGGAGTGAATGTTGAAGGAGAACAAACGGTACAAACGACAAACTTAAACCGAATGCTGGACAACACATTAACCCAACTTCAAATGGTGCGTGTCAATAATATTTATGTTCACAACGATGACGTTCCGAACATAGATGCAGATGATGAAGATTCTGACGAAGAAATGCCTCCTGCTGCTGAGTTTCCCTCTGATCAGATTCAAAATGCTGAAACATCTTCTGCTCCTCCTGAAACCCGTAAATTTGTGGAAGACATGTTAGTTGATATGAACCAGAGGATGCAGGCATTCTTCACTCTCTCTGGAGTACGGCATGAGAAAATCATCCGCCGTATCTCCGACGTAGATGATAAAGTGTGTCACTTAGAGAATAAATTTGATGCTCACTTTAATAGCGATAGTGAAGAATTTTAATACTGTTTTCATATCTTGTTTTTTTTTTGTAAATTATTTTCATTAATGAAATAAAATTTGTATTTTTGCTTTGTTTGAGGGGGAGTTATTTCCTAATTATGCATATTTTGAGGGGGAACTCTTAATTTTTTGATCATAATCAAAATAGGGGGAGAAATATTTAAAGCCTCTTATGATTGAATTTAAATATTATCTGGTATGTTTAATGGTTTTGTTAGTGTAACAGATAAAACAGGTTATTACAGGGCTTTAAAAGAAAATTTTAATCATCATAAAAAAAGGGAGATTGTTGAAATATACAATGACATGAATGTTGAACTTACATGGACATGAAGCTTGTTGATTTTGATGATGATTCAAGAACAATGGACTTAGAGAGTTGAAGACTTGTATTCTTATGTAATAACTCTGTTTTGATGATTTTGAGTTTGTAATATTAGAGTTTAAGATAGCCAGCACATAGTCTACTCTTTAGAAGCTTCAAAAACTCATTTTTATAAAAAACAAACTAGTTTAATCGATTAGAAGGCTAAATAATCGATTATTACAGAGACAAAAACCATTTTTTGTATCAGCTCTCTGGAATAATCGATTAACAGCTGAAATAATCGATTAACAGGGCTGTTAATCGCTTAACAACCTAAATAATCGATTAACTGGCGTGGTTATGGGTTCCTGTTGATTTTGGCTCTGTAATAATCGATTAACACTCAAGATAATCGATTATTTCAGTTAGATATGCATTTTAAACTTCAAAATTAGACCAAGTTTCGAAAATCCTAGTCCCAATACACCAAGTTTCGAAAATTCCTAATTCCCAAACCCTAATTTGTCTACTTAAGGTTCTCTAAGACTCTCTGCAAAGTGAACAACCTTTTTCAAACAAAAGTTGAGAGTTGTGACTGCCAGAGAACTGTTTGTTGGAGGAAAAAGGGGCTTTCGGAACCTAGTGTGAGCTAGAAGCGATAAGAATCACTAAGTGGAGTTCTTCGTGGATTGTGTGTTGTGCCGTCTCTAGGAAAAACTGTTCTTCATCTCTTGTGTGACTCAAGAGAGGTGTTTTCGTTATCTTATCTTTTTAATTGTTATCTGTTTGTAAAACTGTGATTATAGTAACAACGTTAATCCTCTGTTTGAGTGATTAACAACTGGACGTAGGATCTTTTGATTCGAACCAGTATAAATCTTCTGTGTAAGACTCTATCCTTATTCTATTTACGTTTACACAACATTTTAATCGACAAAATTTGGAGAAAATTTTTAAAACCTAATTTTTGTTAAGAAACAAATTCACCTCCCTTCTTGATTTTTGTCCGTTCAAGCAAACATTTCGCTACGCGATTCTAACAAGTACTCACATATTTAATAATTCCATAACATAATATTTGAGGAAAGAAAATGATAATTATTAAAATTTATTTTGTAATATATTAATAGTGATATACTAATTTAAATCCTTTTTAAGAAAAAAAATGAAATTCTTTTTATTTAAAATTTGAATAATAATAAAAATTAATCTTTCCAACCCATTATTATTTGCAAAGAAAAGGAATGGATTAGGTGGTTTGTGGCGGAAGTGGATTGGCTCACAGTGGGCCGAGGGGGTTGCGATGGTGGGCAAGCTAGGGCTTGCGACTAAGCTTGGGGTGCGATGGAGGTGGTCACGGGTATGGTTGGTTGTGGACAGAGGGAATGAGCGTGGTGAGGTGGGGCTTGGTACAACAATGGGTTGAAGGTCACGGTGGAGGTGGCACAACGAGCTCTCGGTGGCAAAGGTAAGTGCATTCTTATTTTTGTTTCTTACTTTTTATTAGTTTTCTTTGAAATATGTACAATCTGGGGAACAATTGATTGGAGTCATAACAGTTATACAACAAAGAGAAACAAATACTTCAAAGGAGTATCAAATACTACAATAACAATCATTACATAAACACTCCATAGAGAATGAACCATAAAGGGTGAACTTGTTTACGGGTTTCGTGAAATTTGTAATTTTCTTTCGAATTTATGTATTGTTAATTTGTTGTTGACTGTTGATTTTCTATGATGATGGGTTTCTATCCACCCTGTTAAGGTTTTTAATCTTCCAATTTATAGAGGAACCCTTACCTATTGATGAACCCAATCTCAGGAAACATGTTGGAGTAGATGTTGGTGGCTGGAGTGATGGCTGGAGCATAGGAGTGTTGGTGGCTGGAGCAGAGGATGTTTTCTTTTATTATTATTATTATTATTATTATTATTATTATTATTATTATTATTTTTAATTAATTTTGGTGTATTTGAAACTTTTTTTTATAAGAAGAAAAAAATGAGGTGTTTCCAATCATGAAACCAAGTGTGAGATATTTGCTTTCAGGAAAAACATTTGAGGGAAAATTTTCCTGTTAGTGATAAAAAAATTATTGAACGTTTTCAGTTGATTCACTGTGACTTATGGGTCCCTATAGGACTCCAACTTTTGTGGTGCTCGATATTTTTTTTAACTATTCTTAATGACTATTCAAAGGGCTATTTGGATTTATCTACTTGATGACAAGAAATAATTTTCCATGTATTTGTGACAATTTATTGTCATGGTTGAATGCCAATTCCACAAACAGATAAAGATTATTCGTAGTGATAATGGTACAAAGTTTGTCTCTATGGGAACATACTTTCGTCATCATGGTATAGTGCATGAGACATCTTGTACAAGAACTCCACAAACACAACCATATTCTAAATGTTGCACATGCCTTACGATTTAAGGCTAATTTTCCCATTAATTTTGGGGAGATTGTGCTTTGACTACATGTTACTTAATAAATCATACTCCCACAATTGTGTTAAAAGGGAAATCTCCTTATGCAATCTTGTATGGTACACCTCTTGTTCTTAATCATCTTCGAGTTTTTGAATGCTTGTGTTGTTCTCATAATCAAATCATGAAGGAGATAAATTTGCAAGCAGAAGCAGAAAATGTATTTTTGTCCGTTATCCCTATGGCAAAAAAGGTTGGAGATTGTATGATATCAAGTTAAAATCATTGTTTGTCTCACATGATGTTGTGTTTTATGAAGATTAGTTTCCTTTTGCATCAAGCCTATCTCTTGAACAAAAATCCTTTTTATCCAATGCTTCCTCTCCTTCTCCAACTCTAGATGATTGATAGTGATGAAGATCTTATTGAATTTTATGATGATTGAAGATCTTAAAGATTTCATGAAGTCAAATGTTCTTTGGGTTAAATGGTGTAGTTATTAGTGAGTTTGTATCAATATTAATAGGTATAAGCATTCATTCTTCTTTGCTGCATAAGGTTTTATCATTTGAAAGAATTTGAAATACCTATAAACACGTTTTAATCTATTAAAAACCAGTTTAATAGATTAATATGTTCTTAAGACTAAAGATTTAATTGATATACTTAAAGATTAAACGATTAAAATTAGTTAGTCACATTCCTGACAAAGTTTTAACTGATGTATTTTCGAAATAATCTATTAAAACCACTTGAAACATATACGATCACTGTTTTTATCGATGCACATTCAAATTAATCGATTATTTTCATTAGAGATTTATTTGAAAACCTTCTGTCAGTATTTTAACTGATGTAACTTCGAATTAATCGATTAAAATCACTTGAGATGTTTTGAAAAGTATTCTGTCAGTATTTTAATCGATATAACTTCTAATTAATCTATTAAAATCACTTGAGATGTTTTAAAAAGTGTTATGTCAGTATTTTAATCGATGTAACTTCAAATTAATCGATTAAAATCACTTGAGATGTTTTAAAAAGTGTTATGCCAGAATTTTAATCGATGTAACATCAAATTAATCGATTAAATCAACTTAACGAAGTTTTGAGAATTTATATGGCAGTATTATAATCGATTAAACCGCGAATCAATTAATTAAAATAACTTAGGGAATTTTTGTGTAACTATTTTAATCGACTAAATCACGTTTGCATTAGTTAAAATAAATCTGAAGAATGGTCAAACACATTTTCACCTATTAAAAGAAGTTTTAATCGATTAATCAAGAATTAATAATCGATTAAAAGAAGTTTTAACCGATTAATTAAACCAGTTTGTTAGAAAAAATCTTTACATAAACATATTTGCTTCAATGTTTTAAAAACAATTTTTGAGATATCAAGCAATCAATAGAGATCATTTCAAGGAAGAAGTACGCTAGTTTCTCTAAAGTTTTTCAAAGTTCTTTCTTGAGACATTTTTGCATCCTTGCATGTGAAGAAACTCATTCTACAGAGGAATAATTGCATCTGCATAACTGGGTTTGGTTGTTCTAGTTTCTTCTCTTTGTTTTCGTTAATTCATATCTGTATTGTGTGAGTGTCTGGAAGATTTCAGCATTGGTTCTGTAGCTGGAATTTGGTTGCAGGTTGGTTCAAGAACTGGAACTTGGTTCTTGGTGAATGTTAGGTTCAAGAACTGAAAATTGGTTCTTAGTACAGGTTGGGTGTTTTGTGATTCGGGTCTGTAATAAAAAATATAATCAATCTAGTGGAACTCAACTAGAATTTGGTTGAAAACTGGATGTAGTGCCAGTATAATTATTGTGTTTCTTTCTCTATTCCTATACGCTCTTTAATTTTGCTTGTACTTTATACAATTATGCTTGTGTTTCTTGGATCAATTATTGGTCAGACTAATTAATCTTTTGAAATAGAAAATCTGTATCTAGAAAGTGCGAAAAAGTTTCAAAAGATCAATTCACCCCCCCTCTTGATCTTAGCTTACATTTCTAACAATTGTATCAGAGCAGGGTGTTTAAAATCACTCAAGACTTTCGGTCCAAATTTTTTTAATGACTGAAAACAAATTACCTTTTTCTGAGAGTGCTTCTATAAACAGACCTCCACTATTTTGTGCTACAGATTATCCATTTTGGAAGATCAGGATAAAGATCTTTATTGAATCTATTGATAGGAATGTTTGAGATGTAATTGTAAATGGTCCAATTATTACATAAAAAGAATGATCCAGTTTGAATGATGAAGAAAAGAAAAAAGTTCAAAATGATTGCACTGCTAAGAACATTATTACATCTGCTCTTAACATGGATGAATTTTTCAGCGTGTCTCAATGCAAATCTGCCAAGGAAATGTAGGAAGTTCTTAAGGTAACCCATGAAGGAACAACTGATGTTAAAAGAGTTAGGAAGCATACTCTCATCAAAGAATATGAATTGTTCAAAATGCAATTTGGAGAAAGTATTGCAGATGTGCAGAAGCGCTTCACTCACATCATCAATCATTTAATGGGACTTGGTAAGATTTTTGATAAGGAAGAATTGAATATCAAAGTATTAAAATGTTTTGATAGGTCTTGGCAGCTTAAGGTCACAACCATATCAGAATCAAAAGATTTATCCATCATGACCACAACTTCTTTATTTGGAAAACTAAGAGAACATGAAATGGAAATTTTAAGATTTAATAAGAAAGAAATTTATGAAAAGAAAGGTAAGAGTATAGCTCTCAAGACAGAAGATAAAGAATCTGAAGAAGAAAGTGAAAATCTTGGTCTACTTGTCAAAATGTTCAACATATTTCTCAAAAAGAAGATCCAAGATAAAGATAGGTAGAAAAGGTATGAAAAGAAATTTGATTCTTTCAATTATAAATGTTATGGGTGTGGTAAACAGGGACATGTGAGAATGGAATGTGCTGAGAAAATCAAGTATCATGACAAGAAGGAATAAAAGATGAAAAAGAGAGCATATATTGCTTGGGATGAAAATGATACTTCCTCTACAAAAAATTCTGATGAAGAAGAAGCAAACCTTTGTTTGATGGCCAATAAGAATTCTCAAATTAGTAGTGTAAGCTCTAACTCCTCTACTAATTTCATGAATTATAGTTCATTACAAGATGCCTTTAATGAAATGCATGAATAAGTGTCGCCGCCGTCAAAAGAGGTGGTCGGAGCAACGCAATGGTATTCCGACTTCCATTTTTGCGTTTAAAATGTGACGTTACAACGCCTTTAGGTTGTCCGATAACCGGGCTGGACCTAAGAGTGAGGTTTTCGAAAGGGAGCTTTTAGGTTGTCCGATAACCAGGCTGGACCTAAAAACAAGGTTTTCAAGAAGGGTTCTTATGGAGTCACCACCGATGTTTTTACCGAAAACATCGGAAAAGGAAAAAAAAGAAGGCATTGGTTTAAAGAACCAACTTTGGCCATTATAATCAGAGTCGGGTAAGGGAGTTAGTTACGTGTGAGGAAGGTATTAACACCCCCACAACACCTCTTTCAGGTTCCCTATGATAGGCCAGTTATTTCATAAATAAACTTTAAAATAACGCTTTTACCCTTTTATTTGCGAAATTAAGAAAATAGTGACTACATGGCCCAAGTAGCTAATGTACAGATAAATATAAATAACAAAGCGATAAAAGAGAGGGAGAAAGTGTAGTAACCTACGAAACAAGCTTTCTTGATTAATTCTCTTAAATTAGGACACTTTTTGACAGCCCTTCGCTCTACAACGTCGATCGCTCTTTCTGGCAACGTTAAAAAAACTCTCTAAGAACACTCATAAAACTTCAGAAATGCTTCGGAGGGGCTCTAGGAGAAGAATTTGAAGAAATGATAGAAGGAATAATTGAAGAACTGTGTGTAAAGAAGGGGAGAGCGCCCTCCTTTTATAGGGATTCACGCCTATCAGGTCGAGACCGCCGTCTCGCCAAACGGGATGGCAGTCTCGCCTTTGG